CTTAGTGTGTCGAATGTTTAGTGTTTGTGGGGACCTCTTAGTGTGTCCAATGTTTAGTGTTTGTGGGGACCTCTTAGTCTGTCAAATGTTTAGTGTTTGTGGGGACGTCTGTGTGTGTGTCTCGTGTTTGTGGGGACCTGTGAGTCGTCGGCCGAGTTCTCTGGAGAACAGGACGTTGGCCAGCTTGCTCTGTCTGTAGCTCTCCATAGAGCTGTACGTCTTTCTGCTGGAGAACAAGTCGTCAAAGTCGATGCGACCTGAAAAAAACCCATCAAAATGTAATCTGAAAAACATCAGAAACATTAAAGCTCAGAGGCCAAAGGTCAGAGGTTGTACCCCCTCGGTGGGCGATGGACGACACGGTGACCACGCGGCTGGGGACAGAGCTCTTCAGCATCGGCAGCAGCAGATTGGTCAGCAGGAAGTGACCCAGATGATTGACAGCCAGCTGAGTCTCAAAACCGTCTTCTGTCAGCCATCTTGGACACATCATCACTCCTTGCAGACAGGTGGAGAGACAGGTGGAGAGACAGGTAGGTGGAGAGAGATGGGTGAACAGACAGACAGGTAGAGAGACAGACAGGTAGAGATAGACAGATGAGCAAACAGAGCAGGCAGACAGGTGGAGAGAGACAGTTGAGCAGACAGACAGGTAGAAACAGACATGTGGAGACACAGGCAGATAGAGACAGACGGGTGAGCAGACAGACAGGTGGAGAGAGGGAGACAGACAGGTGAGCAGACAGAACGGTGGAGAGAGAGACAGGTGGAGAGACAGACAGGTGAAGAGACAGGCAGGTGAGCTCACCTGCGTTGTTGATGAGGACGTCTAGTCTGTCCTCAGTGTCCATGAAGTCTTTACTAAACTGTCTGACGGAGTAAACGGAGCTCAGATCCAGATGTCTGATCACAACGTTTCCGTTTCCTGTCGAATGACGGATCTCCTCCGCTGCCTGCTCCGCCCGGGTCAGGTCCCTGCACGCCATCACCACCCGGGCCCCTGCAACGAATTAAACACACACATCACCACTCTAGCCCCTGTAACGAATCAAACACACCCATCACCACCAGGGCCCCTGTAACGAATCAAACACACCCATCACCACCAGGGCCCCTGTAACAAATCAAACACACCCATCACCACTCTGGCCCCTGTAACCAATCAAACACACCCATCACCACTCTGGCCCCTGTAAAGAATCAAACACATCCATCACCACTCTGGCCCCTGCAAAGAATCAAACACACCCATCACCACCCGGGCCCCTGCAACAAATCAAACTGGGTGTGTTTGATTCGTTACAGAGGCCCGGGTGGTGTTGGGTGTGTTTGATTTAACACAAACACACAAAGGAGGCATTATCCTTGTAATCGGCTCAGGTGGTTTCAGCCTCTGGGATTACAGTGACCTCTGACCTCTGGTGATGTCATCATTTTGCCGGAGTGTGCGTGTGTGTGTGTGTGTGTGATTATGATCTGTAGACAAAAGCATCAGCTAATAAATCAATAATAAATATCAAGATATACTTCAATCCTACATACTGACAGAATACAGCGTGTACTATTTGCAATGTGTACTCATACCTTTTAATATTAACAGAAAAGTATTACCATAGAGATCCTAAGCAGTCTCTTAATCCTGACATGAACACGGTCCCCACAAAGTGGGTCCTCACAATGTGGTGTGTGAACAGAGGTCCCCACAACGCCAGTAAAACAGACTGACCTCTGCGTGCCATGTCTCTGCTGGTCTCTTTGCCGATGCCGGTGTTTGCTCCGGTGATCAGAACCGTCTTTCCATCCAGACGAGCTGGAGAGCGACACACTCCACCTGCAATCCACCTCCTCAACACCGTCACACCTGGACACATGTACAGATATATACATGTACACATGTACAGATGTACACATGTACAGATATACACATGTACACATGTACAGATGTGCACATGTACAGATATACACATGTACACATGTACAGATATACACATGTACACATGTACAGATATACACATGTACACATGTACAGATATACACATGTACAGATATACACATGTACACATGTATATATCTGTACATGTGTACATGTGTACAGATATACACATGTACACATGTACAGATATACAAATGTACACGTACAGATATACACATGTATTTTATTACTTATTTAACAGTTTTAATGTAAAAGTGTGAAACACGACTCACTAAGTAATGAATCAATAAATAGATATTTCACAAGAATGTGAATGTGTTGAAGTAGCAACAGAAAAAGTTATTGATTGTTGATCAGAAGACTTACAGATCAGAATGAGTCCCACTAGAGCTCCAGACCTCAGCAGCAGACCACCCTGGTCCTCCTCCACCGGCTCCAGGTCCAGGTCTGGGTCTGACCCCCCTTCCTGGTGCGGCCACGGCAGCACCAGGAATCCTCCCGGAGCATCGGCTCTCATCGCTGCTGGTCAGAACAAACTGAGGACAAGCTGAGCCGAGCCGAGCCAGGACAGGGAGGTGGGGAGAGGGGGAGGGGGCGGGGGGGGCGGGGCAGATTAACTCAAAATAGAGCAGATTATCAGCCACAGAGCTGCTCTGGGATCAGTTAGAGAACCGGACGGATCACTGGATCGACCACATGTCAGCTCTCTAAGAACAGCTGAGCAACATTATATATTGATATATTTATAATATACATATATATATTATAATATACAATCAGAAATCATAATCATAATATATATGACTGTATATTATTTTATATATATATATTATACTATATAATAATATATCATATATATATTAATATATAATATATATAATAATATATATATTATATATTATAATATATATAATAATATATAATATATATATTATATAATATATATCAGTGGTGGGCCATGCATTTTATACCTGGGCCTTTAGTGCTGTCCTACTACACTTGAGCCATCTCCTAATAACCTCATGATGAGCCACAGCTACGGTTATTTGTTTCTAGGAGTTTAACAATACACGTATTCGTATTAAACCGTTCAGTACGAGGCTTACGAACCCAACAATACGTTTGAATAATACTAGTGCATTTGGAAAATGCAGCAGCTTAAATTGTGGGAAATATAATGTTTCCGGTGGACTGTGTGACCTCTGAACCCGGAACAATAACAAAAAACAGCTGAGGCTGCGGCACCGCACGTGTCTTCAGGGAGGCTACGCGAGTTTAGCTTAGCGGGGAAACAACAGCCCAAACAGACAATAACCCCGCGCATGACGGGATACTTTGTAATTAACGGACAATGCATATAGTCCAAATCAATGTAATTAACACAATGACAAACTCACAAGAACCAGTCACATATATTTATATGACAACAAAGCAACAAATCAATCCAGCAACACTGCAGTGCTAGAGCACGAGCCATTCATATTATTCATAAGAACGACACGATAGACAAATGAACACAGTAGAAACGCTAAAGCAGTTAACTTACTACAGCTACTGTTCACTTAAAGACAAAGTCCATCCTCCTTTCTTTGATTACAAAGAGTTTAATGACGCGGTTGTACAGAACATCGGTGCGGTTCAGTTCCAGCCAGAGGTCCTCCTGCGAACGTGTTCGTTGAGTTGTAATCCACTCAGGTCTCTCCGAAAGTTTTCAAAAGCACGTAGCTTGTGCGTGTCCTGTCGTGTAGCTGCCTTGGTTAGCATAGCGTAGCTCCAAACAGCTCCAAACACCAAGAGCTCAGTTGATCCTTCTCCAGAAATCCGTTTCTCCTCCTTCAGCCATTGAGTGTTAAAAACACAGCTAGGTAAAAAAGAATGAATCTACAGCAAGCAAAACGCAAAAAATGTCATAACTTCTCTTACATATGTTTCAACCTGAACTCTTACTAAACACTAAGATCTGCTAGCTAGCTTTCTGTTTGACAAAAGTCACGCTGGCCCACTGACCAATCACGGCACACGTTAATGCAGACGTACTTAGCAGGCTACCTCGGTGCCACTGGCACGTCAAAGAATACGCCCAACATGTCAAACTAAAGATCTGATTGGTTGAAGACTATGACAATCAAAAATATCGTTCCCATTTACTTAAACTGCAAAGGCTCTCTAGCGGGCCTCGGGCCTCTCTTACCTAGAGACACAGAGGCTGAATCTGATTGGATAAAAGCTCTCCTTAAAACAAGCTGTGATGGAAGCAGAGCAACAGAGGAAGACAGGAGCTGTGCAATGAGAAAATAAGATAATGGGAAAAAATAATTATAATACATGAGATGTATTTGTGAAAGATCATTAAATTATAAAATAGCTATAACTTTGTGATTCTGTTTAGGCCAGCAGAGAAGGCTTAGCTGGCCCTGACGGCCCACCACTGGTGTATATTCATGTGTCTTTATGTCGTGAGGACAAGAACTATTATTATTTATTGAAGAGAAACAGCTACTACATTTTCAGTTTTTTGTAAATGTGTGTAGAATTTGGTTCATTAGTTGTTTGTAAAACTTTCACATAAACAACATTAAGTAATAATATCAGCTAATGTTCTAATGTAGTACTAATATGTCAATATTAACGAGTATTTCTACTTTTGATATTATATATATTATATTATAAGGCCGACATGTTGCTGATATTTCTCTACTTTTACTGAAGTTGTTGAAGTTGAAAGCAGGATTTTATTTTATTTATACGCATATACATATATATATATATATATATATATATATATATATATATATA